TGGCCCCCACCTCAGCTCTTCAAGGAACCTTGACCCCCTTTATTTATTATTACTTTTTTAATTTCTTTTTTTTAATCCTCACCTTCAGAGAGACAGGGAGAGAGAGGGAAACACCGATGAGAGAGACACATCCATTGCTTGCCTCCTGCACCTGCTCCTGCCCAACCGGGACTGGGGACGGAGCCTGCAGCAGAGAGGTACAGGCCTGACTGGAATCGAACCCAGACCTTTCAGTCTGCCGGCCGATGCTCTACCCACTGAGCAAACTGGCCAGGGCCTGATCCCCTTTAGAAAGTAAGGTCTGGGGCTGGCTATGTTCATGGCTGCTTTGCTACAAGGTCTATACCCATAGTTTTCTACCCCGCTTCCCCATCCCAGGAGTCTGGCTTGGTCTCCTGAAGTAGCAGGCTTGGAAGTGGGGGGGCAGAGTGGCAGGGCCTCTGGGGTGAGAGGGCCCAGCAACCCCCCACACACCTTCCCTGCACCCCTCATGGTGGCTGACATGATTCCTGTCTGAACCCAGAGGTTGGGGCTTCCACACAGCCATCCCCCTCCCACTGCTGTTACAGCCTTCTGCCCATCCAAGGGCCTCGCTACCTACACTGTCCTCCTGTCCTCATGCGTGCCCTCACAGGGACAACGATGCTGGCCTACACCCTTTAGCTCCTGCACCACTCACAAGCCCTCCTCCATCAGAATCTACAGGTTACTTCCCGGTGCCCCTCCTACCTGTCCATTTCTCTCCTGCCTTCCTATCCTGCCTGTGCTCCTGGGCTCTGCCCCTGCAGCAGGTGGGGTCTGGTCTTGGCACCCTTTGGAGCCTCCTCTGTTTCCTGGGCCACCCCATGCCCAGGTCTAAGTGAGGCTTTCTCCTGGTTCCCCTCCCTCCCTCTAACGTCCCCATGCCTTCAATGGGGGTTGAGAATATCCACTTCATCCGTGCCTTGTCCAGAGGGAGGAACTCCCACACTCACATCCCTGTCTCCAGCACCCAATCTGCCTTCTGCTCTGTGCCCAGGGCTCAGCTCCATGTGTGTCACCAGTGCTGCTGGCACAGCCACAGCCCTTCCCTGCCAGCTTGGCTCCTTCTGACTTCCTGTTCTTCCTCTCCAAGTCTCAGGGGGTCCCGCTGCTCCCACTGCCAGGACAAGAGAGCCTTGAGGCTCCAGAACACCCCCTCCACCAGACAGCTGCCCCAGGGTGGGCAGGACTGATGGGGGGGTACAGGGGGGGCATTGGGAGTCACCCAAGGAGGCAGCACAGCCAGGAGTGTGGGCAGGCCCAGTGGCCAGCATCTGTGGGAAGCTTTAATGACTATACATGTGGAGTGAGGCACAGTGAGCCTAGGCTGGTGGGGCAGGCAGCAGTTACCAGATGAACATGGGCTTGCCGTCATCGTGTGCCAACTGGCTGAGGCAGGAGAGCAGCAGCAGCGCATCGGTGAGCATGCTGGGGTGCACTGTCTCCACCAATACCCGCTGCAGGAAGTCGACAGTGTAGGAGCCGCCCTCAGACACGGCCAGCTCAGGCCGCTCACGTAGGATGCCATAGGCATTCACCAGCTGCTCAGTCAGAGCCGGATGCACCCGCCCATTGTAGCCCAGGCTCTGCAGTCGGTTCATGATGCTCACATAGCGCTGTGTAAGTGTCTGGCACAGCTCCTCATCCAGCTTGTGGTCACTGGGGTTCAGGGAGGCCTGAGGGAAGACGGAGGAGATACCACCAGGTGAGGGGCAGAGGTTCCCTAAGCCCCATTACTTGTTCCACCACCACCACGGATTCGGGACTGAGCCGTGAGGAATTGAGAACAGAGAGCATGGCTGAGAGTCAGGTTGAAGGCATAGTGATGGCGCTCCTGATGCCCCCAGGGTTGCCTGACCCAGAAGACACCACTTGGGGCTTTCCCAGGCTTTCTCCTGGCTCCCTGCCCTTCCTCTCAGCCTCCTCTCTGGGCCCCTCCTCTGTACCCTGCACAAGCCCTGTCAGACTCACTTCTCATCCCTCATGCTGACATGACCACCCCAGGCCTAGAGCCAACCATGCTCTGTCTCAGCACTGGGGTCCTCCTGTCCCTCAGGTGCCTGCTCCCAGTGCCTGGACCTGGGGACTGGCAGAGACTGGGTTGTCTCCACCTATTTTTGTTGTTAACCCTCACCTGAGTATATTTTTTCCATTGATTTTCAGAGAGTGGAAGGGAGAAAGGGAGGGAGAGGGAGAGAAAGAGAGAGACATGAATGTAAGAGACACACATTGATTGGTTGCCTTCTACATAGGTCCCAAATGGGGCAGGGATCAAACCTGCAACCCAGGTACATGCCCCTGACTAGGAATCGAACCCGTGACCCTACACTCTAACTGCTGAGCCACACCGGTCAGGGCTCCACCCACTTCCTCATCACCTATGCTCCCTAGCACAGGCAGTGATTGTCCTTCCACAGCATCTCACCATGAATTCAGTCTCTCCTCTCCACCCCTCTTGCTGTGGCCTCCTGGACATGTGACCTTGACAGTCACACAGGACACCAGGCTTAGAGGGGCCTTGCACTCAGCTTAATGCTCTGCTGTAGCCCTGTATTTTCATTTGCACTGAGTCCTGCAAATTATGAACCAGTCACAGGTGCAGCTGTCCCCAGACCTGCAGAACTAAGGGTCTGAAGTGGTAGTGAGATGGGGTGTCTCCCTGCCTGAGCTGTTCTGTGGTTCCCACTGCTCCAGCTCTTGGGTCCAGGGCCAACCTACAAGGTTATGATCTGGCTCTGCTTGCCCCCTTCCAGCCATTCCCTAGATGCCTGCCAAGCTAGTTCCTTACCTGTTAGGAATGCCCAGACAAGCTGCTTAGGCATCACTTCCTCCAGGAAGATCACCCTGTCCTCTCCTCCCCAGATGGTCATGTGAGCAGAGCACTGGGCCTGGCTGGGCTCAGCTGAAGTGACCCCTGACCTCTTGCAGGTGAAACTAGAGTTCTGTGCTCAGCTCTTCACTTCCTGGTCAGCACTAGGACAGGCCTGTCTTCCTGACTCCAGCCTCCTCTTGGCCCTAGAGTCTTCTCCCTCCATTTGCCTATTCCCAGATCCCAGTAGGAAGGACTTCAGGAGCTCAGCCAACATTGTAGGGTAAGCAAGTGAACCTGTCATACCAGGATAGCATGGAGCACTGTGGGTAGACAGTTGTAAACCTCGGCACATGTGGGGAGGAAATCCATGGCCTGCTCAGCCCAAGGTAGTGGCTGAGTTCTTGTTGTGCCCGGCCTGGTGCATAGATCTCAAGACATGACTAGAAGTTCAGGGGGGAGCAGACTGAGCCTATCCTGACAGGGTGCTAGGCCCAGGAGAGCAGTGTGGGCTGAGAGACAAGGACAGGGCTGCCCCAAGGAAGTGACCCTTTGAGAGTGGGGGGGAGCAAGTGGGGAAGAGCAGGACAAGCACCTGGGTCTGGGAGCTGCGGGCATGCCTGCCTCCCCCAGGCTTGAGAAACAGGCAGAGCAGAGCAGGAAGAAGGGCCCTGTCCTAAAGGAACAGAAACTCCTGGTGGGCTTTGTGGTTTTAAATGCTCAAACTGACCACTGTAGTGCGATGGACAGAATTTGGCAATAGAGGGCAAGGGCTGTGTTCATACATCCTGCAGATATTCTCCATGGCAGACAGGAGATGTGGCAGACACACAGGGCTGTGGCTGCTCTAGGATGGCTGGGTTTCCCCACCAGCTGTTGAACAACAGAACCCTCTCCCTCTGCCCTGGATCCTGTCTCACCATCCACTCTGGCTGGTGTTCCCACTGTACCAGTTGTTAAATATTTTGAATACTCCCTGCCCTAAATGCTTTATTTATTTATTTATTTATTTATTTATTTATTTATTTATTTATTTAAAGTATGTCTTTATTGATTTCAGAGAGAGGAAGGGAGAGGGAGAGAGAGAAACATCAGTGATGAGACAGGTCATTGAGACATCCCTGCTGGGGGTGGAGCCCAAAACCCAGGCATGTGCCCTGACCGGGAATGGAACCCTGGTTCATAGGCTGACACTCAACCACTGAGCCACACCAACAGGGCCCTAAATGCTTTATTTAAAAGCAAGAGAGATGTAAAATAAAATGACTAAAGTGCTCAACCTAAGAAAGAGAAGTAAAGCAAATCTAAAGGCAACAGAAGGAAAGAAGTAATAGAGCAGAAATGAGGAAACAAAATCGAAAGGATCAATAGGATCAGCGAGACAAAACTGGGCAAAGTTGACACTGCACAAAAGAGGATAGGGTCCTGGCCTTCCCTAGGT